CAAGAGCTTAGGCTTGAGACCTTCACCCCATCACTCCAACCAACTCATCAACCAACTCAAGGTGAGCTTCATACCCCCACTGTTTCGAGTTTTTATATTTTTGGGGGAGAATACAAGTCAAGCATTGTTTAAATCTTGATACAATTGTTTGTTGTGCATGTATGCTAAGTTTTATGTGATAGGGTTATGAAAACTCCATTAACACGAAATCTTGAGCAAATCTCAAGAGTTTGAGCCATATTTCACAAAATATGTATAGAAACAAAAACTAGTATATTACAAAGTAGAAGTCACAAATTCGTATGTTAAAAATCATAAGTATTTACTTCAAAAATCGCTTAAACAAATATTTGAGAAGAAATGGCCCATTTTCAACAATTCACCTAGTTTTGAACCACTTATGACATCTTTTGACAAATATGAGTCTTATTTGATAAATCAAAAAAAAGAAGGGACATTTTTGCCAATATCGATAAATCTTGGGTCATTTTGATAATTTTGATTCAAAGCGGATTATTTTCAATAAACGAAAACGATAGATCTAGTCATCGAGTACGACTATTATTATTTCGCTAATAAATAATGGATTCCAACGATTTGCTCAAAAATATGTTAGTATTCTAGTCAGACGAATCTTCACAATACCTATATATATATATATATATATATATATATAATATATATATATAATATATATATATATATATATATATATATCTATATATAATAGTATACGCTTAAAGTCATGTAAGAGTTATAACCAGAGTCTCCTGGAGGGGGAGCGGGAATTTGTGTATAGATCTATACGGGGTTGACACCCCGCACCTTCGCTGTTCGCTACAGCTAGACCGGCCAGTCTACGGTGACAAATGTCTTAAACAAAACCGACGCCTGAAGAACGTCAGAACGGGCACTCCGTCATATTAGTATGGTTATAACAACTCACTAAGAATATAACAGTATGTTTTTAGAAATTTACTCAAGTTACACCTTTCAATTATAGACAACTATTGTTTTGGGTACTATAAACGAAGCTTTTATCACACCAATCTTAGGGTTTTAAGACCACCATCTTATACATCAGAAAATATAGGACTTTCTAGGGAAAACGATTTTTACGATTTCAAAAAACGATAAACTAAAACACACATGCAACTATACTTGATTAGAAACAAGACTTACAACCATTTGATAAGAAAATATGGGATTTTTGGTTTTCCAACCACCACAGATTTTTATACAAAATGCTTATGAACTCACCAACATATTTTATGTTGACGCTTTTCAAACGACTTGTATTCTCAGGAAATCAATAAGCAGGTTAATGGAATTCGGACTCAAGATTATTTTGATGTAGTTTGGAATTTATTCAATGTTGTCTCTTTTGTGTATTTCAAGAACATGAACAATATGTAAAAACAATGTATGTTTGTTATATTGATGTATGATGTTTGGATTTGCTATGTTTCATTTATATTCAATTGTTATGATACTGCACAATGAAGTTACCCGCCTCCAGACGTTTCTGCCGTACTGGTCCGGGGGTGTGACAATCGGATTTTGACTTAAGTGGATAAAACCAAGAAAATCGAGAATAATCATAAAAAATATATATAATATAGGTAGACTTTAGTGGAAACAATAGGAGTGGGTTGCCATAAATCACAATGAACAAGATCAAGAACATGTAAAGAACATTTAGGATTAATTTCAAATGCTAAATGTTTGGTTTTGGAAATTTGATAAATAGAACATATGCTAGGTTTTGGTAACCAAGAAGTAACTGACAAGTGACCTAATCTAGATAAAGATGAAAAAACATCAATAGCAACGTGACCCAAACATTTAGGCCAAACTTAAAAAGACGCATGTAGCCGAGATTTTGTCAACTTAGATAAAAATGTATTTTGACCTTGTTCAATAAAATAAAGACCCTGGTCAACTCTTCCTCGAGCAAGAATGGTCTTGGTGAGACGATTCTGAAGTAAAAAGACGGAATTTGAAAAAAAGATGTCAACCGAAAAAATCATTTGTAAGTGTACTAATGGTAATCAATTTTTTGGTAAGATGTGGAACTACAAGGACATCTAATATGGGAATATTATTTTGATGATTTGAATGACGAATGTGAGTGATAGGAAGAGAATTACCATTACCAAAACCGACATAATCTGGCCCGTTACAGGACTTGGCACAATGGACATTAGATGGGGATGACGTCATGTTAGTTGTGGCTTCCGAATCAACATACCAGTCAAGAGAGGTGTCAATATAAGAGCCATGAAAAGCGGATGCTAAATTTGCATCAGCAGAGGATGATCGAGTAGCAAAGGTCAGGAGATCCGTTTACTGTTTGCATAATGCCCGTTTTTTCGGCAAAGTTGGCAATGAGTAGATCGCTGACCTCGACCTCGACCACCATTAGAGCCACCGCGAGGAGTCAAGCCACCATTAGATCCCCCACGGCGTCCTCGTCCATTTGAGTATCCACCACGATTTTGAGTAGGCAAAAAGGTAGCTTGCGGTGGTGGAGAAGGAGTCACAGACTTCATAAAGAATTCATGTCCTTTGGCTTGTGAAAGCAAATCATAGAAGGATGAATGAGGTTTTACATCCCGTTGTGAGATGGAAAAATGTTCGAAAGAGTTTCCAAGCCCACATAAAATTCAATGACTTTTATCATAGTCATCAACAGGATAGCTAATTGTAGATAATTGATCACAAATATTTATAAATTTTCTACCATATTCGGCTATAGTGGAGGTACCTTTCTGCAATTAGCGCAAGGACTCCCGCAAGGTGTGCATACGTTCGAAAGAATCATGACTGTATGCACGTTCAAGAGAAGTCCAAACATCATGAGCTATTTGGAGACCGAGAACCTCAACCATGGCTTCCTCGGTAAGAGAGGATTGCAATATAAGAAGGATTTTGTAATCATTTTCTTTCCATTTGGCAAACTTAGGGTTTGGATTCGGTGCAGGAGGAGGATCGCTAGTGGAAGCGAGTGTGCGTGGAGACGCTTGAATGGTCCTGTTAATGTGACCAAATAACTTTTGGAACGACAGAAGCGGAAGGATCTGATTCTTCCAAAGTAGGTAATTAGAAGAGGATAATTTTATGCTGAGGACATGAAGTAACGTTTGGAGGGAGAGGAATGAAGAATCTTTATCGTTAGCAGCCGTTGAAGAAGCAGAGGAGAAAGTGTAAGATAAATTAGGGTTTGTAGTGGAGATCTGGATACCAACTTGGATGGTGAGAACACTTTCTGAACTGATATTTCTACCCTATACATTGGTTGCAAGAAATTCAACCTATGATAATCCAAGTGGACACTTACGATTCTAGGCACAGAAATCGTAAGCCAATTTGCTAGAGACATTCTGTGAGAGTTTGATGAAAACGAGAGCTAAAATTTGTAACCTTCTTCTGAAGAGTAAGAACCATTTATATATTAAACGAGATTAGAGTTTCATTAGGGTTGGGCTGTAATTAGTTGCTTTGGAAGCAAGTCAAGATAATCCGGATTAGGGTTACCAAAACTAACGAGTTTCGTTAGTTTTACCATAATCACCCTCAAGAAATTGAATTTTACACTATGTTCCCATATGTAAAATTCGGTGAGGTTTGGGGCGCTGCCCCAGCCAGGGGCTCTGCCCCTTGGACCCCGCTAGGGGCGCTGCCCCTAAACCCCGCCAAAAAGGCGATGCCCCTTTGGAAACCCCCCGGACCCCCGACTAGTCGTCAAACCGGCTTCTAATTCGATCTTATACATGCGTGCACTCCGCACAATCACGTACATATATTAGCGTACAAATTATGAAGCCCCTTAGCTCACATGTCAATTCCAGTTAATTAAAATGACATGGTGACACTAAAATCACCAACAGAAAAGGGGAGGCGATGGAAGGGTTTTGGTTGAATCAATTTAAACGGATACCATCACTACTACAAAAAAGGTTATAAGACCCGGTTAAATCAATTAAAAGACCCGGTTTTGAACCGGGTCCTAAAGCCAGCGAGACCTATGTGAAAAAAGAAATAGAACCCGGTTTTAAAACCGGCTCCTATCTGACACAAAAGAACCCGGTTATTCATAAAACCGGGACATATAAGAGGAATATAACGGCTAATGTTTGATCATATATGAAGATTAGGACACGGTTCAACCATACAAAACCGGGTCGTATATGTCAAAAAGTGCCCGGTTCCAATTCCAAAACTGGGTCATATAAGGATTAAATATAGACCAGTTCCATTCAAATAACCGGCTCTTTTTTAGCCTTGCAAAACTATAATGACGGTACCAAAAAGCATGGTTATAAAAAAATAAATTGGTGACAACTTTATTCAAATAACCATAATATAATGAAAACAAATGATAAAAAGCACAAACTGATACTTGCATCCAAAGCACACATTCAAAACAAAACAAAAATTGTTCATTGATGAACAAATTATATTAATATAAACATGCTAAGTAACCAATCATTTTAGTCATCAACAAAAACATGCTTAAGTGCTGCTAAAAACTCTTTGATTTGGTCATTTCATACTACATAAAACTTACATAAATAAATTCAAAAAAGAAATTGTTTTCCCATGGAGAGGTATTGTCCAATATTCAAGTGTTGCAGCTATCCTTCAACCTCACTTAAAAACAAAACACAACAGCTATCCTTCATCCTCACTAAAAAAACAAAACACAACAAATAATTAGTTTTTTGTCTAGCATTATAAAAGAGTTGACTTTAGCAAACAATCATTAAACTAAAAGTAGGATGTTATAAAGATTAACAACTAACCTTATATGCACTTTTAGACAACATCATTCATAAAATTTTTCAGAAATTCTCTGGCCCATGTAGCAACAGTTGTAACCAACGCCTTTTCCTCAAATGCAGTTTTGTCATTCCAAAGGGTACCAAACTATATGAAAATAAAATTAAAACTACTAAATAATGAAAAAATTTGTTTCTTGCTTTAGAAGAAGAGATTTTTTAAGAAGTACTTAATCTACTCGGAAATCCATGTTGTCTGTTCAACACAAAATTAAAGATCCAATTCATTATATAATGCCCACTCAGCTCACGCTCCAATACACCGACTTGGTTGCACTAAAATTAAAATAGAAGGTAAACATAAATCACAAACGAAACTACATCTAACTAGTGGATAAGTAATAACATAAATTACCTCAGTGAGCTTCCATACAATTGGAATTGATGTGTTCTTTTCATACCTCTCAAAAGCCCTAAAAATAAACAAGCAGCAGAGTTGTATTCAAACTTATAGAAAGAATGTTATTTTTATGTCATTAAGAAATTTCTTACTTTTCCATATGTTTGAGCAGATGGTAGTTGTCAACAAGATTTTTCATAGGCTTCATTAGAGAATCCAAAATGTATACAATATGATTTGAAGGGCAAATCACCAAGAGGACCCAATGCGTACTAGTAATGGTTTGAAATTTTAGTATAAAAAAAAAACAAAAAAAAAATAAATAACTATTAATATAGATAGCAACTTATGATACTTTTGCAGGTATGGTGCGATAAGAAACGATTTTCCATGATGAAGTTGCATCGCATCAACGAGATAATTGACGACATCAATCGGAGTTTCCTGACATGCTTTCCCAAGAATCTTATATGGGTTTAGGAAAGCACATTTTCCCATACGTTTCCGAAGCATTAAGTGTAGAAGGCTACAAACAATATTACAAAAAAATTACAATCAAGTAATATCTTATAAGCATCCTCAAAAGAAAATATCATGGAAAAAAAAAGTAATAGTAAAATTTGAATGCACTTACATCTGCCAAGTTGTTATGATGGACAAATCAGTTGTTTGTTTTTTCAACAAACGATAATATTCTTCGTATGTAACTGAAAAATCAAACGCCCCAGCTTCGAGATGTCCAGCATCGGCTACTACATGAACCACTAGGTTGGTCTTCAAAAGGTCATGAAGTGATTCTATGGGCCTTGGTTTGTTGATCTTTTGGTTAGGCATGTTTTTTTTCCATAACAGCCTTTGTGGTTGATGGTCGCGCACTTGTGGTCTGAATTTGTTGTTGTGATGGCGCCTTGCTTTGTTGTTCCTATTAATAACTCATTTTAATTAGCGAGAACGTCGTATATGCCATTCTTAAACATCAAAATATTTTATTTGTCGATCTAAATGTAATATTTTGATGTTTAATAGGAGCATATAGGGAATTCTCTCATTTTCACACAAAATGTATATATGGTAGATCATAAATTAAAGGATAATGAAGATGTACCTTACTAAGAACAACTGCGATCCGCGGCCATTGAATTACAGTGCCAACTGCATCTTCTAGGATACCAACTTCATTTGTCATCACAGGAACAGGAACACCTTTATATCTTTCATCAATGTTGTCTATCATAACCTTCAAGTGATTTTCGCGTAGAGGAAGTGAGTGAATTAACCCATCATTATAAGGAAAGACCATCCCTCTGGCACATTTTTGGTTCATATCACCATAAGGTAACACCAAATCACAATGAGTAATAGTCTGCAATCATATAACATGTAGTGTATTTCATGTGTCAGCATGTTAGAAAATTTGATATAATACATAATTTGACAGCAAAGTTCTGAGTAAAATGATATCAAGAAATTCAAAAAACATAAACCTAGCACATTAAAACATAAAAATATGCTAAATACAAAAGTTTGGAACTATTTTAATATATTTTCTATCACACATGGACCATTATTGTACATTTGTATAACATAGTGACCAGTTCTGTATTTCTATACACTTTTGGTTCATATCACCATAAGATAACACCAAATCACAATAAGTAATAGTTTGCAATCATATAGCATGTAGTGTATTTCATGTGTCAATATGTTAGAAAATTCGATGTAAAACATAATTTGACAGCAAAGTTCAAAGTCATATGATATCAAGAAATTCTAAAAACATAAACCTAACACATTAAAACAAAAAAATATGCTAAATTCTGCATTTTTATACATTAGAGGTACCTTTTTTTTAATTTTTTCTGCATAGTGCCTTCTTTTGTAAATTCAGGGATTTGTAATTGTTTCTTACAGGGATCATTTCTGTAAAAAAAACTTACAGGGACCATTTCTGTAGAAAAAACTTACAGGGACCATTTCTGTAATTGCTGTAACATAAGGACCATTCTGTAATTTTTACACAAGTTCTATTTATCTAGTTTTATTGTTTGCTCTGTACAGCAGATACATAACACATACAGGGGAATATTTGTAGCTTTTTTGAAACAGTTGAACATTATAGAAGACTATGATCAGTCATCAACTCTTACTCAATTATGTATCTATTTACATACTTTGTTTTGCCCGAAACAATAAACAAGTGAATTTTATTACTCTTTTCCCAACTTGTACCACATAATTATAATAAATGTAATCAACTAGAATTAGTGATAAAAATAAATAAACTGACTCATTGAGTTGTGGATTTTATTAGTTGTTAAAGGTTGATGCTATAATAAAGAATTACCTTTATCGTATCTAAAGCATCAGATGTCGACGTCGAGCCAGAACTATTGTTTTGAACACCGAAGCACACATTATTCGGGACTTGGTTCCTAGACCCTTGCATTGCAAACAATGTTCTTAACTCTGCCAATTGGGTCACAGCTTCGTCTAACTGGACCTGCATCTTACTAACAACTTCTTTGTCCACGGCTTTCCTCTTTTTTTTTCAATTCCTTGCATCCCCTTTCTTAAGCCGATATCATGCCCCACCGCCCTAGTGCGACCAGGGTGCTCCGGCCCTATAGCCATAGTCAACAAATCCTCTCCGGGACCCGGCAACAAATCACCGTTGGATATTTCTTTTTGGACATCTATCTATTAATGCAAACAACATAATAGTCAATACAATTACTTAGACAAAAAAGATTAAAAAATTTAAAAAACAAAATTAAGAACAATCTTACAAGCTTTTTTACTATGGGTTCCATGTTAGGTGGTATTATTTTTGACCCTGACTCATTTTTAGATCTTCTCCCCAACACATAATCTAATGAACGCTCGCTTTTTATCTCATACAACTGTGGCGGCAGCTCACCCGATGCCTTCTCTTGTTCCCACTTAGGTTTGTTGCCCCGATAACCATGTGGGCCTACTCGGGCTGGATTTGTATTACACATTGAACTCATCTTTGCTTTCTCACTTATATCCTGCCAATGAAATCAACAACCACAATTATGAAACTGCAACATAATGATTAATATTATCAAGAGACATTATATCCTACAAACCTGGAATTCCTTTGATGATATCCTTTCCTTAAATTTTTGCAATGCAGTCTTCTCCAGATATGAGTAGGTTTCAAGTGGGTTTCTCTCATTGGTCAAGAAATTCTTTTTAAGCCTCTTCTTGTATGATCTCCACTTGTGGTTGCAAGTCATAAGCACATATGCTCTACGTTTTTCATCATGGATATTCCAACGTTTCTATTTTTGTTTTTTTTAAATAACTATTAGTAACATATATTAATCAAATGAAAGCACATGTAATGTATATTAGATAACAAACCTTGATGGTCAAACATAAGTTCTCCTTTTCATTTGCTGGCACTTTCTTCCAAGTCGGATACTCGATAGAAATTAACTTTCTCGTAACAACCCCGCAGTCATTGGCGAACTTATTTTGCTTATGGCCACAATGCTGACCAAGACTGTTAAATTCAACTTCTTGTGGCTCTGTTATATCCATTAGACCTGTGGCTGTTCTTTTTTTCCTCGGTTGTGGTTGTGGTTGTGGTTGTGGTTGTGGTATCAGTTGTTTGTTGTGGTTGATCATTCATCATCTTTATTGTAGATGATTTGCAAATGGCTCAACCACCTACCTGAACAGATTACAAAAACAATTCAACATGATATCACAATGCTTACTTGGTGGTTTGATTGATACAAAAGGCCTATATACTTATGATGATGAGGAATGGTTTTGAGTTTAAAAAAATGAAACATCTTAGATCCCATCATTGTTATTATTTTGCAAAACTGTCAAAAATCAGCAAATAATAGCAACTAACTGAAGTGTTTTCATGAATATATACATACATACATCCACAAATTTCTAAAAAAAACCTTCAGGTTTCCTGTTTTGAGTTTCATGTTCTGTTCTCAGATATTCTCGTTTAAATCAACATCAGTACATGATTCATGCATATATAGATCCATGAATTTACAAAACATCAAGTAAACCTCTGTAGTAAAATTTTCAGAAATCAAGTATCAACATGTAAATCTTACAAATTGCAAGAGTAGAAGATGTTTAGCAGTGGCAAAAAGAGGACCAATAGAGATGTAGAGCCGTTATACGAGTAATGCTGCCCTAGCAATGATTTGGCGACCTCCTGATATGAGGTAGGGGACAGGGAAAATCGAGGAAAAGATAAGGATTTTAGGCACCGGAATTGTAGTCAGGACGATGAGGAGGAATCGTTTGTTAAGGCATTACCTGATGAAACGGTGTGGGTAGCTAGTCAAATCGCCGGTTGGTTGCTGCGGTGAGAATAACGGGAGTGAAAACGTGTTTGGGGTTTTGATTTTACCCAAAATTTGTGGCGGCTTATGCAATTTCCATGGCGGGATATCTAAAAGCTTTACCAAAATTTATGTCAGGCCAAATCTAAAAAGTAAATGGCTGATTTCTTTTTGTACGATGTATAATTTCATTACCTTAAAAAAAAGCTTGTCCTTTATATCTTAACTGATTCATTCACTTACCATATTGCCCACGTTAATTAGAATAATAAGATTAATATTCTAAACAGTAAAGTATATAGAAATCTTTGAATTTATATTTATAAAACTATGATTCCTCGTATATATGTTACGATATAAGCGAAATATAGTTGGTGGTAAATTATTAAATTAGTATTAAATAGATAATAGAATAAAATAAAAAAGAAGGTGGCTGTTAATTAATTCCTGTAATAGTGAGCTAGGTTTTTGAATAATTCACCGAAGTACTTTGTTTACCACATTTTTATAATTTAAAATTATTGCATGCCTTGTATTTATGTCTTTATAAATGTATTAGAAATCACATGCTATATATTTATTCATGGCCTTTTTTTGAATATCTAGTTTAAAGTTGCTAATATATATATATATATATATATATATATATATATATATATATATATATATATATATATATATATATATATATATATATATATATATATATATTTGATTATTTGGGCTCTTGACATTTTTGCCCCTGGTTCCCTTAATAAGTGTTGGCTGCTTATCGGTCTCCGTTTGCTTTTGTTTTGGTTGGTCTGACTTGGTGGTTTTGACACATGCACTTATCGGTCTCCGATTGTTTTTGTTTTGGTTGGTCTGACTTGGCAGTTTTGACACATGCACTTATCGATCTCCGGTTGTTTTTGTTTTGGTTGGTCTGACTTGGTGGTTTTGACATGTCACAACTAGAAATTCTAATGCTTTGTAAACAAGGATAACATTGTAACTAAAACTTGAAAGCATGTATGATGCTTATTCAATGACAACAAAATTTCATCAAACACTCTATACAAACACTCAAATAGTCAACAAAAGGTTGGAAACCCTATAAATCCGGGTTTAAGTCCAATATGGACTAGGATTTCCTTATTGGGCCTAAGGGGCCAATAAGCTTCCAATTTGACTATTTTGGGCTTAGAACTCTTAAATGGGCTCTAATTGGACCCACTCTCATGAGACTTAACCTTTTGGGCCATCATGGGCCTAAAATGAAATGGTTTACCTCTATTGGACCTTATTGGGCCATAACAAACCTAGTTAGCCCTAATGGGCCATAAATCAATTCTTTTGTACAAAATTGGGCCGTGAGCTACCCTAAGGGCCCAATGGGCTGAAAGCTTTCTCATAGACCTCTTATTTTCGATCAAAGCCAAGATTGAGCCCAAAAATCATTTTTCCTTCACCTCATTTGGCCATTCTCGGCCCAAGTAAAAAAAAAGGAAAAGAAATGAATAAATGGCCATGACACCTCATTGTTGTTTAGGGGTTAATTATGGGATTACCCAACAAACAACTAGACAGGTCTCATGTTCCCATGCACTCATCTCTCTCTTCTCTTTCTTCTTATTACTCATGGCCGAAGATCACAACACACACACACACATTTCATCAACTTCTTTCAAACACACTCTCTCTATAAAAGCTTCATCTTCTCCATAAATTTTCGAGATCTTGGAACATTTCAAGGAGGTTCTTCCACAAGAATCATCATCCTAGGTAAGTTGATGTTGGATCCATAATCTAGTCTCTTTATTTCATCAAGAATCTCTTCTAAACTCACACAAACTCATGATCATAGTCCTAGAAAACTCTAAGTTCGAAATCCACCCAAGAAGGCTTGCTAGGATCAAACTCTTCCATTTCTTTCTTCAGCATCCAAATGAAAATTAAAAACATCCATGGAAACATGTTCAAACTAAAACATTAATACAAACAAAAATAATTAAAATTCAAACGATACTAAAACATATTAAATAATGTCACGTCTCATCGTCAATCATATCTTTGTCTTATCTATGTCTGAGACCTCACCCAAAACCTCTTCATTTTGCCCCAGATATGGGTTATGATACCCATATTCCTTCATTGTGATCTGACCGTAAGTAAGTGGTGTCATCAACATCATCATTTGAAGATGGAATGCCGATAGAAAATGGGGGTAGTTCATCAAATTGATTGTACTCTTCCTCGTCCACAACATCATCAACACCAAGTATATGTCGTTTGCTATGCATGACGATGTGCTTTCCCGGTTCCTTTGGGTCCTCAACATAGAATACATGGGTAGCTTGTTTAGCTAGAATGAATGGTTCTGATACATAACCGTTTGTGGAAAGGTCAACAATTGTAAAACCATCATTGTCAACTTTAACACCTCGTTGGTTGTCAACCCATTTGCATTTTAACATAGGTATAATGATGGAATCATATTTCAATTCCCATTTTTCTTGAATGACACCATAATATGATTCTTTGGCGATCCTCACCCTTGTATCATGACTATCTCCATATACTTCAGTCGAGGCTATTACTGTTACACCACTATTTTGGAGTGTACTTTTTCTATCTTGTTGATTAGTGTAAAATGTATAACCATTAATGTCGTATCCTTGGTACGTTGCCACAAGATCTTCAGGACCATTCCCCAGATGTACTACAGCTTGATCCACACTATCGATGCCATAACTTGCTCTCACTTTGTCTTTTAACCATTGTGAGAACGTTTTGTTATGCTCCTTAACCAACCATCTATTGCTCCTACCATGATTTGACATCTCTAGTGTTCTTTTGTGCTCATTTATATATGGAGCAATGATTGTCATATGTTGTAGGACTGTAAATGTGCAAGTTGTAAATCTTCTCGATTTGCAATGATCTTTTTCAATCCAATTGTCCCACTCCCTACAAGTCTACCCTCGTGTCGAGATTTTGGAACGCCAATACTATCAACACCTTGTAGATAGTCAGTACAATATTCAATTACCTCCTCTGTTGCGTATCCCTCAACAATACTACCCTCTGGTCGATGCCTATTCCTTACATACCCTTTTAAGACGCCCATATATCTCTCAAATGGATACATGTATCGTAAGAATACTGGCCCACAATACTTTATCTCTCTAACAATATGAGATGTCAGATGAACCATGACATCAAAAAACGAAGGTGGGAAATACATCTCAAGCTGGCATAACGTCAAGATAATATCACTTTCCCATGAATCTAATACCTCGGGATCAATAACTTTCGAATGAATCATGTTGAAAAACAAGCATAGCTTTGTGATTGTGTGTCGAATGCGGTCTGGTAGTATTCCACGAATTGCAATGGGAATCATATGTGTCATTAAAACATGACAATCATGGGACTTCATACCAAATAGTTTTAGTTCTTTCATTGACACTAACTTCTTAATGTTAGCAGAATAGCCTGATGGAACCTTTACACCATGTAAGCACTTACAAAATTTTGTTTTCTCATCCTTTGACATGGTATAACAAGCAACTGGCAGATACGTACGCTTTCCAGGATTCCTAATAGGAGCAAGCTCGTGGCGAATTCCCATTTCAACCATGTCTTCTCGAACATTAATCCCGTCTTTTGACTTTCCCTTGATGTTCAACAATAAGGCTATCAAGCTTTCACAAACATTTTTTTCAATATGCATAACATCAAGACAATGGCGAACTTGCAAGTGCTTCCAATATGGTAACTCCCAAAATATAGATCTTTTCTTCCAAATAATTTTGGGAGGAGTTGTACCTGTACGTTTACGTTTACATTTTCCTTTACCATTACCTTTGAATTTTCCGAATGTAACGTTTAGATTTTCAACACGAGAAAATACAGTCTCTCCTCGTAATGGTTTCCTTGCTGTCCTCTCCTCAGTTTTACCATTGAACACTTTTTTTTTCTTGCGATATGGGTGATTTTTTGGAAGATATCTTCGATGATCCATATATACATTTTTCTTGCAATTTGACAACCATAACGACTGTGTGTCATCTTCACAAATTGGACATGCATTTGCTCCTTTTGTACTGTATCCAGACAAATTCCCATATGCTGGAAAATCATTTATGGTGCAATAAAACATGGCCCAAAGTTGGAAATTTTCCCCACTATATGCATCATACACTTCGACACCCGGACTCCATAATTTTTGCATATCCTCAATTAATGGAGCTAAATAAACATCGATATCATTTCCCGCTGTTTTGGACCTTGAATTAGTAATGGCATCATGATGTATCTTCTTTTCAT